GTATTTTTTTTTGTGACACCCGATATATATATATATATATATATATATATATATATATATATATATATATATATATATATATATATATATATATATATTGTTTAGAAATACAAAACACTTAGGTCTACTATCTATTTACCACAATTTTGACAAAAGAGAATTATGTTAATTACGTTGTCGATGTATTTCCCTCCAAATCCTTGTAGTGATGATTTATTAAAGTATTAAAAGAATACAAGGAAAGTTGGTCGTATACATCGACAATTTCAGCTGGAAGACTTTTCCAGGATACAGCTCCGAGGTAGCTATGACAAGCTATTTTTCATAAATTTTGTGTTTGGTTTGTTTAAATAAAGTTTTCGATCATTACTTCTTAATTGATACATGTCATTATGACTGGCGACAAACAGGTCTGACAAGTAGTTAGGCGTTTCACCCCGTAATGCTTTAAATCTCATAATGTGTTCACGTTCTTCCCAACCTAATTTTTCAAATATCTCTGATGATCTTATTTCATAATTTGAACCCGTTATCACTCGGCGACCTAATGTAAGGGGTCGAAATCTGATGGTGGTATATTTTCTGCAAGTTGTGGTCCTATCTTACAGAAAAAGTTATTAAATTCGTTTGCAATGTTTTTTTCACCTGTTATCTTGTTGTGGTTAATTGTAAGTTCATTTATAGAGGTAGTCTTTTCTTATTCAGTAATTTATTTATAATTTGCCAGCTATCTTTGCTATCAGTACTATTCTCCAAACTCGTTTTGTAGTAATTTGTTTTAGCGACTTTGATACGACTGTACGTTTACTTCATTTCTACATTTTTATATGCTTCATGGTACGCTGGAGAATTAAGACTTACCGCTTTCTTTTTTAAAAAGTCTCTGCGATAACTCATGTTTTTAATTTCGTTAGTTAGCCATGGGGTATATTCGCTCTTTACTTTTCTTACAGGTAAACTACGTGAAGCGTTCCTCTTTTGAGTTTCTAAATTGATTGCAATTTTCCTCATTACTTTTGCAATTTAAAAAACTTCCTTGCAAATCCCTTGAGGGAATTTTCAATGTTGCTAAAAGCCAAAAATTTTTCCTCAGTTCCTGTTAGAAGTTCTTAACTTCCTGTTACAAGTTCCTAACTTCCTGTTCTGTTCTGGGTCTGTTCTAAAAAAAAAATCGACCAATAACAACGCTCAGAACAGAACAGGAAGTTAGGAAATTAAAACAAGAAGTTAGGAAAATTTAAAATGAAGTTTGGAATATTGCAACAGCCGATAGGAACATTGCAAATTCCCAAAAGAGGAACGCTTCACGTAGTTTACCTGTAATCGCAGGGGTGCATGTTTATCAGCGATTTGAAGGAATATCACTTTCCATTGATGCCATGCTAAGTTGGGATCTGTATAATGAATGAAATTGCTAAATGCTTCTCTAAGATTGTTTTGGAAATCAGTCGGACTGAAGTGCCTGAATTGTCTTGCCTCTATTACCTTAGGTTTTCCCTTAGGGATACTTATTTTCCTGCATATATAAACCAGGCTATGATCACTTATCCCCAGTTCAATTACACCAGAATCAATTGTTTTATTGTCTTCAATTTTAGTGAGTATGAGATCAATAACAGTTTGGGAATAGTTGGTTGTTCTACTTGGTTTATCAATATGTTGTTAAAGTTGATAAATATCTATTAAGTCTTTCATCTTTTTAATGTTAAGATTGACATTATCCTTTTTTAACAAATCGCAGTTAAAGTCACCAGTTATAATTTCCTTATTTTCATCGTCAAGTTTTTTCCAAAATTTTTCAAAGCATTCAAGCAATTCAATATTCGAATCTGGTGGACGGTACCAGGTAGAAACTAACACTGGTTTACTTCTTGGTTTTCTGATCTCAAGACATAATGCTTTAACGTTTTCAGGAATTAAATCACTTCGTTCAACGTGTGGAATGTTGTTGCGTAAGTAAATTGCAACGCCTCTTCCATTTCTATTTCGATCTCTTCTTACTATTTCATAACCGCAAATTTCAACCTCTGCACTAGAAATGGAATTGTCCAGTCGCGTCTCATTAATGTATAAAATGTCAATGGTTGTTCACATAGATATTCATGAATAAATATTCGAAGTTCTTCGACATGTTTAGCTAAGCTAATAATATTTAATTGCCCAACTTTAAAACCTTTTTAAAAAACTTTATTTCGAATGATATAGTTTTATATTTCGAACGATATAGTTTTAATTAATGATAAACAGAAATTATTTTTTAATTATAAGTCTGGTGAAAAAGTTATTCCATTATTGTGTTTATATTCAACGCAGAAATCGAGAAAAACAACTTTGTAATAAAGCAATAAAGTCACACAAGAAGCCATTTTGAAAGCGTGTGCGTACAAGAAACACTACAACACTATTAGTGACGTAAACAAGTCGAAAACAGTTTTATTCCCGAATTTAATTGAACTGATATTTTGTTTTATTCATTAAAAATTTATACTAAAACAATTATTTGCCTCAGAACTTTAACTACTTTAACGTCAGTGATTACGGTGAATATTCACCGGTAATCACTTTGCCTTCGGCGAATAATTGTTAAATATTATACCTCAAATTCAAATTGTCCAATGAAAAAACAGCATTTGTACCACGTGATAATGTGATTTTTTACGGTATTTCACTCAAATTCATCAGTGATTTCGCGATCCAGCGTGGGATACTATAATATCCCATGGTAGATCCACCGTGGGATATTATAGTATCACACGCTCACGCGTGACGCGTGGACACCACGCTCTGAAAAAATATGGCGTTCGCGAGCTGTTGTTTGTAATTTCGTATTTTCGTACAGAATATTTGACTTAACAAAACATTTTCAAGACGTATGTTACCTTTAATGATCCAAAGGAGACATGCTCAAATATTTTAAAGAGGAAACGTCAAAAACTCAGGTATACATAAGAAATTAAAAATTGTATTCGCGCATTTTATAATATTCAGCAAGTTTTATTTAAAAAAGTTTATTCTGAACTTTATAGTGAGTTCTTTAACTTTCGGTATAATATATCATTTATAGACCCTCCGCTCGGGGGATTCGGCAATATTTCCCTCAGTGATGATATTTTCCTCGGGGCAAAGCCCCTCGGAAAATATCATCACTTCGGGAAATATTACGCCGAATCCCCCTCGCTCCGGGTCTATAAATGATAAATATTCACATACATGCAAGTGAATATAACAAAACCGAAATTTGCAAAATGGCGGCTGGCCGTTTTGTGGAAGTTACTGATAAAGAAATAAGCGAAATTAAAGTAAATTCAGTCCCAAAAAACACAAAAGACTTGTATAAAAATACTAAAACAATTATTCGCCTCAGGCTTGGTGATTATTGGGGAATATTCACCTCGACTTCGCCTCGGCGAATATTCCCCGACAATCACCTCGCCTTCGGCGAATAATTGTTAAATATTACTCATTCAATAACTATAAAATATTGTATTGCTTATAAATTGTTCTGATTTTTATAGCTTTTTATTGTCCTATAGCAGTCGAAGTATATATGATTGTATTGATTGTGATTTTGAATGATTTGTAACGGTTAATGTGAGTTAATCTTTTGCGTGGAGAAAATGGAGTTTTATATTTTCGTTTAGGCATGAAAATGTTAAAATTTTCCCAAACGCTAACCATTTACCATTTGAAATCGCTAGAACATGACGAATTTATATGAAGCATTTCAGTAGTTACTAATGATAAACGTGTTGTTTTTAAATGGCTTATGATTAATGCATGAAATATAATCATATAGAAAATAATTATTACAACAGATAATCGATCATGGAACAATATATCAACAACACGATATTTTAGTTATAGAATGAGTAACATACCAAAACATGTTCAAAATCGAATAAAATGTCGATATTGCAAACGAATTTATTATGCCAAATTTGAAGAAGTTTAATCACGCAAACTGAGGGTATAATTTATGCATGGAACAAGCAATCGCGCCATGTTCATAGACCTTACTAATTGTAAGTTCTGTGACACAGACTACATTGAACCCAGTGGTGGACAGAAGGAAATCCTATTGATACTGAAAAGTACATCAAAAGCTGTGAATTTAAATAACGTGACAGACCATTACACTTATCTTCTGCCAAAACGGTTTGGTAGATAAGGCGGGGTTGGGGTGCGGGTGAAATAGTAAATTTGCTGACAAATGTACGCACAGTGCATGAAAGTGTATATTTTAGGATGTTGTAATGTCTTCATTTTTGTAAAAACTGCATTATCTAGTAAATGGTATGTAAATTTTTTTAAACATGACAACTGCTTCGTTTCACCTGGCAGTCACACAAGAAATGAACCATTTATTTAAAGTTATTTTTCTGTCCCAGCTTGCAAAGACCCAAAAGCGTTAGGAATGCAAAGTGGAAAGATCCCAGACTCAAGAATCACAGCCTCGAGTGAATGGGATGGCAACTCGGGTCCACGTTACGGCAGATTACATGGAAATAAATTCTGGCTTGCAGCCAGGTCACCAGACACCAACCAATGGCTGCAAATTGATTTTAAATATAAAGCAACAGTTACAGAGATTCTCACACAAGGCCGTCCTGACTACAATCAATGGGTTAGAAGTTACACTATTGCTTATTCTGACGATGGTGTGAATTTTACAACGTACAAAGGGGATAAAGGGCAAGATAAGGTAACTATCATATATTTTTCAGTCCCACAGCTTGGGCAGGTTGTAGGAAAATAGTTATAATACCATTTTGGGCATCTCACTCGATAGAACTAATTGCAGAAGTGCTTTGTAGGTGGAAATTTTGAGTGTAAATTTTATACATTCCTTAAACCTAACCAGGATCAGTTGCGAAATATGCAACTATAGACCCTCTGGTAGGAATTAAACCTGCGGTCCTGAGTTCGAATCACGAGGCCGCAGGTTCGATTCGTGTCAAAGGGTCAATATATAGTTGTATTTTTAGCAACTGCTCTTGATTATGTCTGATAAATGTAGAAAACTACAAAATTCTTCCAGAAATAATTAAAGAAACTATTGAGGTTTAGGCGAACTACCGGAGAGAGATGAGAAATTTTCGACGTTTCAAGCAAAGGCAGCAAGTTATTACTCACACAGTAAAGGACTACTTCCTGAAAATGAAACACCTATACTTCGTGTGGATGGCTTTCCATTATTTATCAGGGATCTCGCTATAGATGCTTCCTACGTTTGGTTACAATAGTAGTAGATTGGTACGACCAGGCTGGCAATTAAGTAACAGTACCTTTACTCTCTTATTTTTTGGGTCCCAGCTATAACTGGAAAACTCGCCCGAGTGAGATCTGCATGTCGTTGATTAACGCATATGAAATCTGTCGGAAAAATGTTTTCAATATTCATATTATAAAATACGTAATTGTGATTATAGAAACATGTTGCATCATGGGGTGCAAGTGTAGTACCTCGTGTTCAAAACATTACGGAATTGATACTGGTATTTTTCATGTAAACCTTTTTATAAAAATATATAAATATTAGAGAATAAGTTCAACAAAATCCAATTTGTGTTTCTATGGGAAACGAGCAAACCCGTTTAGTTGAGATGTTGTCACCTTGCGCTAGGTGGGATCTCAGTCAAGTGAGATAAATTTCCATATGAAGGCTTTATAAACTTTATTCCACCAAACCAGGATGAACATTGTTGCCAATTTTCGAATTTGCCATTGTTGGAAAATACAAACAAAAAAGCAAACATAAACCTGAACAGACAGGTGCGGATTTTATAATTGAAAAAAAAAAGGATTTCGAGGAAGCCATATATTTACACAATGCAACCCAACCGAGACGGGATATTTGGTGGGATAAAAACAGTCACATGAAGACCGAAAACTCATCTTCATAAGTAAGATGAATTATGAGCTTACTTTACAATCATGTTATTTTCAATTTCATGTTATTTTCCATGTGTATTCAAACAATTTTGGGAGTATTTTCTTCACGAGCTTTAGGCTATATAATGCCGACAGATATTTTATGGATAAAGTGATATATCTCTTTGAAACCAGGTATTTTCCGGCAACAATGATGGTTATAGTGTTGTGCGTCAAGAAATTTCATCCGTTCTTGTTGCAAGATTTATCAGAATCCAACCAAAGACTTGGGAATGGCACATCGCCATGAGAGCTGAGGTTCACGGTTGTGTTGAAGGTAAGACGCGGAAAATATCCACATTCTAACATTTTAAAATCTCTCTGGCAGGATTGGAGTTAAGTTAGTATTAGCATGCGTGCAGTCCCAGACTAAGTTACTATCGAAACCGCTAAAGTAGTAAATCTATCCTTTGAGAAACCTTTTAGGGAAGCTTGTGCCGGGTTTGAACCTCAGCAGAGTGAACAACCAACAATGTTTCAGGGGTATATAGATTGCTTAATTAAACTAGAAAATACATGAATGCAGAAACCCTTCCTGACGAAACCATTGTACTTTCCGAACATAAAGTATTTAAAGTAGTTGTCATGGTAACACGATAATTTTATTAAGAATATTTTTACAATTGAAAAATCCCCTAAAATAACACTTTTGATTACAAAATTATCAATTTTCCAAACATATATAAGTTAGGTATGTTATTATACGTATGATGAGCTTCAATTTAATGTAAAATTCAACCGCGTGTCGGCAAAACGTTTTAAAATGTTCTTTATAAAACTAAACTGCCTTTATCGGTAAACTTTGAGTTTGAAATAAAATGATTTCAAATTCTGGCATGCAAATAACTTTGCCTTCTTTTTTATTTAAAATTTTAATATAATAAAAAAGAGCGAGAAAGATACACTGAAATTATAATTATGCAACGTAATTATAATTATGTAATATACACAACGATCAGCTTTTATTATATAACTGGGATATAGCAGACAATTTGATTGGCTAATGCGCGTGCAATTTGAGTCTAATAATGCAGTGTGTTCTGTGACACTGCCTCGCTCTTTCTTGGTGTTTTTTCCCCTGCTTCATCTCTGCTTTTTAGCCAAAGATATAAACAAAACTAGAGCTACAAAATGTATCAGAAAGCAGCAACTAGTAGACCAACGGAACCAGGCAACATTATCTGTAGTTCTACGTATAAAAACATTATAAAAATTAACCGGCTTGTTTCGAAAAGAAAAAATCGTGGAAACTAGTGGAGAAAAAACTTGAAAAAGGTACAGTAATTAATACCCAAAACATAGAAAAAGGCAACAAAAACTAAACATTAAGTGATTTAGAAAGAACCTTCAATGCTTCTGATAAAACTGCTAGATATGTTTTCGGCGAAATGCAAACAATACAATAATTTCGAAAATTAACACTGAACACCACGACGAAACCTACGATTTAACGTGCCATGAGCAAATCCGGCAGCCTAATTGCTGAAAAACATTAAGTCTGTGTATCACCAAGTTTTAACCCCCAGCATTTTAAATAGTTTCTTCGCAACTTTAGCATCAAAACTCTCTCACAATTTTGTATTGTTTTTGCTCCTTCAAGCGACAGTAAAAGCAAGCGCGTGACGTCACCGAGTACATGTTGGGAGAAATTCAAAGTTGATCTTTTGAGTAAGATTGTTATTATGTAAATTCTTCTGTAGCAATTATAAAGCAAACAATACCTTAGTATTTAAAACAAACTTAGGGACCGGTCATAAAGTAACTGCTATGGTGGGCCGGAGTGACATGGGATGGGCCATGGAAAATCTTTGGGCCACCAAACAAAAACCCATGTCTACTTCAAACTAGAAAATACATGCATGCAGAAACCCTCGCCTTACTGACAAAACATTATGTTTTCTGAATATGAAGAATTGAAAGTAGTTGTCAAGGTAACACGATAATTTTAAGAATAGTTTTAAAATTGAGAAATCCCCCTAAAATATCACTTTTAATAACAAAATTATCAATTTTCCAAACATATATATGCTAGGTATGTTATTATACGTAATATAAGCTTCAATTTAATGTAAAATTCAACCACAAACGCTTCGCAAAACGTTTTAAAATGTTCTTAAAACTAATCGGCCTTTTATCGAATTATCAGTAAACATTGAGTTTGAAATCGCATGAAAATAATTTTGCTTTCCTCTGTATTTAAATTAATACTTTAATATACAAAAGAAAGGGTAATTAATAAAACTACACTGAAATTATATGCTGTCTTTTTTCACTTATAAACGCAATGATAGTATCACTAACTATCAGTTCGATATTCGCAGTATCGCCCACCACTATGGCACTATCAGTTATAAATATATCAATTATTAATCAAACAGTACATCAATATTTAAAACAAACTTACCTTCATTAACGTCGGCGACTTTGCTCTATTCTTTTAGACGTTGTTAGACTTTTTTGGCTCTCAGAAAGGTTTTGAAATTTACAAAATCTTGCAAAAATACAACTTGCAAGAAATGTTCGCTATTTCGCTGTCGTCAATGCAGTCTTTAATCTTTATAATGCTAATTTCAAATTTGACCAATCAGTGTTCACTATTCACGACTGTTCGCTACATATTTTGAGATCAGTGAGGATGACCACCCATGAACGGTGAGCCATGCGCCCACGATATTTGATGAACTTTAGACTTCGCTAGTGCCTTCCTTTCCCCGGGTGTAAATAACCGGGCGGAATTAGTACCCTCGCACGGCGCTTCGCGCCGCCGGCTAGGGGAAAATAGGAACGCGATGTGTACATGTATCTGCGAAAAAACTTGATTCACATTTTCATCACTTATTATAATGAATATAATGGCAAATAAGATTTTAAAGTCAAACATAATACAAATCTAACAGGGTTGTACACAGCACGGAGGGCAGCAGGGGCAACTGCCCTTCCCCCCGCCGAGAAAATTTAACTAATTTTATAATGTATTATGATTGTAACGGATAATTGTGTAGTCAGGGAATACAAATTTCATGGAAACAATATTCGAAGTGTCTAATAATAATAATAATAATAATAATAATAATATTTATTCAGGAAGCTCCACTCACCGACGTGTTTTTCAGGGAGGTCCTGTAATATATATCTATGTTATACATGGTATTCGTAAACTATGCGTCTATGCTTATTTAAAAACTATAAAATATTTACAAGTGGATTATATATAATTATACTTCATAGTTAGAAAAAATTCAGCTTAATTAGGTGGATTGTTCAATTTAATTAGATAAATTGTTTTAGTTTGGATATAAAGAGATTAAGATTAGTAGATTGTTTCAGTTCAATAGGTAAAGAGTTCCATTCCGATACCGAGTGATAAGTGAATTGCTGTTTTCCCTAATTCGTACGTGGGCGTGGAAGGTAGTAATTGTTATTCTGGCGTGTTTTATGGCTATGTATACGGGAGATTATGGTAAGGTTAAAATCAAAGTCCACTAGACGGTTAAGACATTTAAAGACGGAGATACAACGGTGGTATTTTCGACGAAGGTAAAGGGGTTTCCACTCTAGAGTTTCAAGGGCTTCGGTAGCGGAGGAATGGCGAGGAAGATCAAGGATAAGTCTCGCAGCGTTATGTTGCAGAACTTGAAGGTGGTTCATTAGAGTGGAGTTGTTTTTATCTCCCCACACGATATCACTGTAGTCCAATAGAGGGAGAACAAGACTGTTGTAGAGGGTGAGTCTGGCTTGAATAGGGAGTAAGAATTTTATGCGGCGCATGGGACCAAGGCGTTGATTAAACTTCTTGCTGATGTTGTCGATATGTTCTGACCAGGTTAAGTTTTGATGAATTGTAACTCCTAAGTATTTGAAGGAGTCAATTCTATCAAGTATGGAATCGTTAACCGTGATGGAAACGTTGACAAATTTTGCAACTTTGCGAGAACTTCCGTAAATTACAAATTTACACTCGGAGACATTAAGTGTCAGAAGATTGTCGTTAAATCGGAATTTAATTTAATTTCAAGATCGCAAGCATTGTTTGAAGAAAAATATATCACAGTGTCGTCAGCGTATAAGGAAATTTCACAATGGTTGATACAAAGGCCTACTCTGGGGCGGTAAATCGCCTTAAATCGCCCTAAATCGCCTAAAATCGCACTAAATCGCGGGTTAAAATTGTCGAATTTCTCCTAAATCGCCTAAAATCGCCTAAGATCGCTTAAAATCGCCAACATGCATTCTGCTTGATACATTCAGTCCATGTACTCAAGTTTATCAATTGCTGCTATTTTACGGGAAAATCATGTAATCCAGGTGCTTTGCAATGAAAGTAATGCAACATGAATTAGCAATCAAATAAGTCGATTAGGCTGACAATATTTGGTCACTCAATAGGCACCGGTCATTGACAAAAACAGAGCCTTTTCTGCTTTATGCAGACTTTACAATAATTAGGTAATTCTGGGATCTGAAAGACCCATAGATCCGATACACTGCAAGCAACAAAATTGAGCTAGTTACCAGAATGAGCTAATTTCATTATTGGTGTAAATGGAGGCTGGGCTACAATTTATATGGACTATGGAGGCTGGGCTACAAATTAATCTATAATCTAGCTATATTGCTGTTAAGCCTGGTTCACATGTCTGCGATATGCCTGCGACGTCATTGTTTACAGCTGTTGATGCATTCTTTTGTGAATTATTTGGTTGAACTGCTAAGACAATAGCCCGCCGACACATCGCAGACATATGTGAACCAGGCTTTAATTAGAACAACAGTAGGAAACTACGAAAGTCAATGAGTACGAGTGTTGATTTATATAATAAAGTCATCGTGTAATTTGTGCACTGTTGCATGTAAGATCGAGCACTGCATTGTATACAATGGTTGTACTTCGACATGTGCATGGTTATACTCTAGCTCCTAGTTATAATTATAGTCGCTAATTGACTCGCTATCAAACGAATAATATACGTGAGGTTATGAGCGATTTGCAACTCTCGTCTATTAAATTTTCCAGACCTGTATATACAATAAACAGTAAAACAATGATTACATCTTACATACCATACAATAGATCTTTTGGTGTTGTTTGTTTGCAGAACCTAAAACCACGATGTAGTGCGCCATTTGTTTAACAATTAACGCTGTACTATTTTGGTTTTAATTTTAAAATAATTTAGAATTCCTACCATTTATATACGATATACTTCATGTAATTTAAACATTACGGCATTACGCCGACAGTTTCCGAATGCGTGACGATACTGTTTCTGGATATGGCACTGGGATATCATATGATGTAGATATCA